GCAGAAAATGAAAAATCATGAAAAGAGTCAACCTACTTGTCCCAGATGTCATCTGGTTTTTGCAGAATATGTACACTACCGTTTAAATGTTTTGGGTCAGTATTTTTATTTATCTATTTATACTTTTATTCAGGAAAAATGCATTAAACTAACCAAAAGTAAGTGTAAAGATTTTCACATTTCATATAAATTCAGTTCTTTCTATTCAAAGAATCCAGATAAAAAAGTATAATTAAAATATTAAACAGCACAACTCTATTTAACATTGATAATAAGAATAAATGTGTTGAGCTTCAAATCAGCATATTGGAATGATTTATGAAGGATCATTTGACAATGAAGACTAGAAAATTCAGCTTTGACATCACAGAAATAAATGGCTAAATATATACATTTTAAATACAGCTATTAAAAATCATAATAATATTTCACAATGTTGTTTTTGCTGTATTTTTAGAAGAAGAAAAAAGAGAAAATAAGAGAATTCTTTCAAAACATTAAAAAATCTGACTGACCCCAAACAGTAGTGTAATAGACAAATTTATCTTGAATATTAACAAATTCCTTTTCAAGGTGTCATTAATGTAAAATACTAAATCAAATAGCCTATGCTATGTAAATCTATGAATATTGACAAATTAGTTTAGACCACAATTATGCTTCTCACCCCCCACTGATCTGCCTATTGAATAATAATTGAATATTGAACAATTATAATTGAATCAATGGTATAATTTAACCAACTATTGAACCTATGGTCACAAAAATACACTCCACTTAATAGTCATAAATGCTTGGAGTTCCTTTTTCTTAGAGTTTCCCAATTTTGTCTTCATCTGTTTTGTCAAAGAGGCAAACACACTAACCTCTTTGGCACACTAATCTCTCCCCTCAGGGACAATGTAGAGGCTAGAGAGCTATTAACTCTCTTATATAGTAGTAGTGAATGTTTATGGTAGCAATTGAGAGAGGGGAAAAACAGAAAAATATGATAAAAGACTACAGTGGAGCCAAGCAGCAGTTGACAGAGTGGGTGGAAAAGATGAAGGGAGGCAAAGTTAAAGAGTTCTCTTCTTCCCTCCCATTTTTTTTGGTTCAGACATCTCTACTTGGAGGGAAGGAAGGGCTTTGGGGTTTTCTGGCACGTGTAAGCCTGTAAAAAGTCATCAGCGTGGAAACTGTCGTTGAGGAGACCCCTAAAATAAAGCCAAGTAGGCTAGCAGACCAATACCCACATCACACACAGTAATCGAGTGCCAATTCGTACCATGTCTGACTGGTCTAACAACACTGTGCCATGTTAATAAATGCCAATAAACACATTAACCACCAGCGCAGCCCAGCATGAGCTTTAGAATGAGATGAAAAGTTCAAATCCTTTAAGAAAATTTTCACATCTGGAACTATGCTGACATGTTTTAGTGCCAAAACTTCAAATAAAGAATGGTGTTGTGTCACCATACAGTAACATATGTAAGGGATAATATAACACAAGATAAACCCTAACAGTGTGATTAAGACTCTGAAACAAAGCAGAGGGGTCTGGTATTAACCTAAAGGAGTTTATTTTGCTACAATGATATGGACAATGTTCCCATATTCTGGACAACAATCATTCAGAATTAAAGTATAACCACTTCAACTGACCAATCAGAAGAAAGCATTCCACAGAGCCTTGTAATAATACCCAACAATGCTATGGCAAAACCACACTTGACCCTTTACATACAAAAGCCCAACGCCAATACTACGCCCTGCACTCAGATACTGTTAAACCATTGTGGACAATAGGGCTCTGTCATATCTAACAGAGTGCAAAGCTGTGATGCATGTACGGGATACCTGACACCTCACAGCTGCCAGCCAGCCAACCAATCACAGACGTCCTGCCTATCCAGCTCAAGTTGTGTTTTTTAAAGTGCAGACTTCTGTGACAGAAGATAACAGGGCACCTGTATCACCTTTAAAGTTATTATGGGTGACTGGAATCGTTCAGTTCTCAAATGTGATTTAAAGGGGTCATATGATGCGATTTCAATTTTTCCTTTCTCTTTGGAGTGTTTACAAGCTCTTGGTGCATAAAGTAGATCTGTAAAGTTGCAAAGACTAAAGTCTCAAATCCAAAGAGATATTCTTTATAAAAGTTAAGAGTCAGCCACGCCTACCTAAAACGGCTCGTTCTAACACGCCCCCACATATCTACGTCACTATGTGGAAATACTAGCATATTGCTGCCCAAATGTGCACGCAAAGAAAGAAGGCGTTGTTTCAGGAACAGCAGTCGTGTTGATGCAGCCATGTCAGGGAGACGCTGTGTTTCAGTGCGAAAGCAAAAGCACTTTATTTGGCCTTCCAGAAGTAGATGCAATTAGGAATCATTGGTTAAGATTTATTTACAACAGAACAGCACAACCCAGATGTTCGAATTTGTGCAACGCATTTTATGGATGATAGTTTTTTTAACCTAGAAGAGTACAAGGCTGGTTGTGCACAATCTGGCGCTTCTGAATCAGCTGAATCAAATGTTGTTACTAGTTTAAGTATTTGCTATTGACTGTTCAAATGAGGAGTTTTGCGCAGCGCAGAGTAACGCGTCGTGTGTGTGTGTGTGTGTGTGTGAGGGGAACAGGGTCACATGGAGAGTGAACTGCCTGTCAGAAATCATAGCACGTCAGCAGTCTTAACCGCGGCTTGTGTACTGCATCATCACTGTGTCTGTCACGCGACTCTGTTGCCCTTTCGGGCTTGAACTGATGGTAAAACTAACGACATTATTAACTGTCTTGATATTTACTTTGAAAGCTGATGCTCGCGATTATGGTAAGGGGCGTTACATTTCCAACGCGTGCTTGTGGTGTTCGGCCAATCACAATGCACTGGGTCAGCTGGCCAATCAGAGCAGACTGCGCTTGTCAAAAGAGGGGGCTTTGTTGAAAACGACGTGTTTGAGAGAGGCGGGGCATAGAGGACCTACAATAATGTACAGTATTTGAAAAATAATGTGTTTTTTGAACATTAAAGCATGTCAACATATTCTGTTACACCAAATACACAAAATAATGACCTTTAAAA